CGTGCGTGTGTGCTGGAGTATATATAATGCACCCGAATAAATAATGTACCTGCACGTTCGTACAAAAATATACATCATGTACTGTTTGAACTGGAATTATAACCTTTACGAATCGATATTGTAAACTTTTCATTCGAGCTAAGCTGGCTATACATTGTCTCAATGAACAACCAACAATTGCTAGAAGAAAAAGGAAACATTATTGTTTAATTCTTACCTTTAGCTCTTCCCAACTTGAGCTCGATATGATACTATATACAAGAACGAACCCGTCGCCTATAGTATAAAACAAAACAAAACAAAATGTGTGAGTGACTCTCGCAAATACCTCGAATTACAGTTTTAAAAAAATGCCTAACGATACAAGAATCTATCTTCAAGAAGCTTCCAACATGCACACTTTGTACTTACCATAATCCAGCGAACTATCTCGGAAAGAAGCAAACTCTTCCTGACCCGCAGTATCTACGATTTCTAAGTTGTATCCGATGGAATCTATGGTCATGGTTTTTTTATAGCTCTCTTCTATCGTAGGATCATAGTACTGCAGTTGTGGGAAGCGAAATACAATAGCAGTCAGAAAACCAACCATTGAAATCAAAAGAAAACAAAAGGCACACAACCATCCACACACAATAGGAATCGATCGTTCACTTCTACATTAAGCCCGATACACACCTCTGCGAATTTATTTTTAAGCAAGCGCAGAGTCACGCAACTCTTGCCCACACCTCCACTGCCCACCACGCATATTCTGTATGCTTGTAAATCATCCGATGACATCGTGAAGGACAGCTAACATGAACTATCTACTACAGTAAGTGCAGCCACCACCGTAGTGATGCGGCACGATTTATAATATTATGTATTGCAGTCAGCCCTAAGTGACGAAAAGTGAACCGTATGCCGGTCGCCACTATCCACCAGAGACCAGACCACCACCCTACATAAAAGGCCTAAGGCGGAAGCCGGAAGGCCTAAGCCTTATTACCTAACTTCACCACACGAACAAAACAAGTAAATGAATTTAACTCATATTATTTTATTCTCATAGTATTGGTTAATAACAATATATGATCACTTTTATTGGTACGTAAATTTAAACAACAGTACTGATGAATCTATTGAATATATTACATTGGACGTTAAAAATCAAATCGGAATCGTACTGTTTTAACTCGTTTAGTGATCAGCCAATGAAATAACACTATGCACACAGGCGGAGCGATTCTACTCATAAGAATAAAAATATGATGAGTAAAAATGAATACATCCTTCGATAGGTTCATAGTATTTGGTTACATGGCAAGGTGAAAGCTGAACCTGAATAACACATTCTAAAAGACGTATAAATATATCAAGTGTAAAATATAGTACATGGTAGTATATATAACACACCCAGGAGGCGAGTTCGCTTCATTACTACGTCTCACATCTGTCGAACTTTCGAATTTTACACTATACAGTTTCTTTGAGCTTTGCCTGTTTATAGTCAACAGTAGGACCTTTTCATAAACAGTAGCACTAGCATCACGATGAATATCTTATCCCTTTGTCGTATCACGCGTACACCAGTGTCGTGCGCCAAACAGAGTATATCGCTGCGTTCAATAGCGGCATATCATAATGGTACGACAGGGAAACAGAATGTACGCAAAGATAACAATTTATCCACAGGATTCGGTCCTGGTACACTTGATACGCCCCAACGCAGAGCCAACTATGACTTCTTATCCGAGTACTTCAATGCACGTCCGCTAAAGAGAGTCTTGGCGAAGAATGCGGGTCTGTTGGACATTGACATTAGACAAAGATTACGACACCTGCGATACTTGCTTGGTGACAACTATCTAGGAGCGTGTGCGGATTGCCCGGAGTTGCTACTTTCGGATGTGAATCGTATGACTCGGAATATCGAACGCATGCCCGTGTTGCTGTGTGGGGTGGACACAAGCGCTTTGATACAGAAGAATCCCAGACTTCTGGTAAGTGATCTGGAAAGTGTCATCGTACCTGCATTCAAGGCACTTGGACGGCTATTCGGGGATAGTGTGGATGTCAAACACTTGATAAGCAGACACCCCACTTTGCTCACGGCTATCACACCAGATGAGGGTTCGATACTCATCTCACTCCGTTCGTTGCTGACGGATACCGAGTTAGAAAAACTCACAGCAGACAAGCAACAACCACCAGTGAAGTTGCTTATGGTGTCGAACTTGATGTATGATCACATCACCTCGAAAGCACCTACTCAGCTGCACTATTCCTTGGTGTAAGTAGCGTTCAGGATTGACTACTGACGCCATTGAGAAGTTGACAGGCAGCATACGAATGAGCACAGTATCTTATCTCTGTTATAGTCCAATACACTTGGAACAAAGGAGTCAACTATTGTATAGCGCGAGATACTGCTCGGAGGATATGCAGATGAATCAAAGCCTTGGATGCCAGCGTCGCGTATCGCCTGTGGAGGTAGCGTATAGAAGGCAGCACAATCAAATTTTGTGTATAGGAAAGCTACCCAACTTGTAGTAGAGCCTAATTAACTTCACAGTTGTCGTTGCCACCGATAATCATCGGTCATTAGTGACTGCGACAAAACATCTACGCGAGGAAGGTTATAAATACATATCGATATATGGTCAGGCATACGCTCGCGGCTTCTTCCACTGTCAATTGTATGGAGGTTTGCGCGTATAATAATGGCACGTATATCAGTGTCATTGTCTGTCCTTGGTTGGTGTCTATCGTATCGGATACTTGATAGCTTATATCAAAATAGGTACAACATGAGTATCTTCGGATGTATACCCCCATTCTTTGCGGTTTGCATGCACTTTTTGCATCGAATACTTAACAACTTTCATCAGATAAGATAGAACGTGGGTATCTTCGCATGTATGCACCGGTTTCTGATTTCGAAATAAAGTAATGTTGAAAATACTAAACCAATCACCATCCTCGTTCGTTTTCGTGCATATTTCATCAACGGCGGCATCAGTAATCTATATTAAGTGTATGAATATGCTCTAAATACAAGTGATTCGTGCTGATTGGAGTGACTTCGATGTTGAATCCGCGTTCGTTTATTTCCGTATGCTCGAGTTGACATCGAGTGGGAAACACTGCTTCAAAACAAGTAAAAACCTAAAATAAATAGAATCTCGATCGTTGAATCTACATCTGCTCGATCGTCTTCACCTGTGTATTCACATCAAACTAGCAGCAGTGACGGTACATGTGGCAGTGGCAGAGTTCTGCGTTGGATGGGTATTGAGCATCCGTATTTTTGTAGCGAAATTTGAAATTTAAACAGGTTCTGCCTGTTTCAACATGTATTTCATTGTCGAATCAAAATACAAACACAGAATGTCACCATGAATAGCATACAACAATGTACAAAGTTGGCTTCAAGTTGTCTTCACTTCAATATGACAACTCTATGTCAGGCGATGCTGAGAGACAAATCTCGCCAAAGAACAATAGGCCGGCTGAACGACCACCGTGGCTGACATGAATCACTCACGTATACTTACAAGAGAAAAGAAACTGGCCGATCTCTAGCCTCGCTAAACAGACGGAAAACCATACCAGTGGTTCTATTATTGGAAGGATTGAAGATGGGCACATGTCTTTCAATTCGATTCATGTACGCGGAAGTCTAGATTTGTATAATTAACTATCCAGTATAGGATCTTGATACTCTTTAAATCACTATTACCGCTCGAATACTTTCATGATAAATCCTATTAGGAGCTCGAAAAATCATACATACATAGCCTTCTACGTTCTAAGATGATGAAACTCATTTAATCACTGTATAAACCTAAAACCTGTGTGCTTATGCTATCTCAAGCTAAATTCTTCAAGTTTTCTACAGCGATATCTACCGATCTGCTAGAAAGATGCAATTATAGAATGGCTCTGATAACCATACTCTCGTATTCCAGTTGGTAGGCAAAACGTGCTAGTGGCGCGAGACCAATATATTGACAATTCACAGCCTTCACTGTAGAGTTGGTACATAAGAAGTTCTTCGCGGTGAGATTTTGGTTTGTTGGATATCACAGGTCTCGAGGACTATGAGTTTACTATATTTGATACACTTCAAAAAGCAGAAATATTTATTGACTCCTCAACAATAGAATTAGGGTGTTTTGGCAGCATTTGCGTATCAAACTTAGTTGCTGCTGTGGTCTTATAATCGAAGTGATGCAGTGAGTTGCAACCACGTTTATATGTCCTGTACACACTGCAAGCCTCAAACACACTGGAGGCTTTACGATAAGAGTGTAGAGACAGCGGCAACCCGACCATAGCAGCGCTCCATGGAACTGGTAATTTCAGTAACCCTAAAACCCAGTGAGGACGATGCCAATAATGTCCGTTTGGCATTTAGAAACTGAAATGTATGTATCGTCAGAATCCCACTTCGAAGTTTGGCATATGACTGCAGAGTACAGTGGTTGCACCTTTCAGATATCCTGACACGCATAAGTAGGATCCAGATCACAGATAGATCTATGAACGCCACAATGAGTGACAAAACCGCCGAAACTGTGGTATCACAGGTCGATGGCACACGCTCAAACGACATGGTTGATACAAATATTGGCGTAGACAAAGCACACGACGTTACCAACGCAGGATTAGACTCAACGATGCCGTCTGAAGAGCTTGTTATGAAGGACGCAAGAGAAGCACCCCCAGCGACAACGAGTGATGTGGCGCAGTTGACCGAAGATGTAGTCGATAAGGCGGGGGTTGCATACAACGAACTAGCCATTAAAGCAGTCATTGAATCCACACAAAGCAGAGTATCATTGTCCACCACACAGGTGCCAGAGACGAACCACTCAACAGCCGTACACACACGAGATGATAATATCAATACAGATACTTATCCACCCACACTAGCCGAAAATGTAGATTTGAACCATACCACAAGCAACACACGAGATGATAATATGAATACAGATACTTCTCCACAAACACTAGCCGAAAATGTAGATTTGAACCATACCACAAGTAACACACGAGATGATAATATGAATACAGATACTTCTCCACACACACTAGCCGAAAATGTAGATTTGAACCATACCGCAAGTAACACACGAGATGATAATATGAATACAGATACTTCTCCACACACACTAGCCGAAAATGTAGATTTGAACCATACCACAACCACTCGGGGTGATTCGTCAAATACCTTAGATGTCAGGATCGGACCTTCACAACATGCAGAGTACGCTAAAAGTACTGGTGAAAACAATGCCTTTCACAGAATGCAGACGAAATTTGAAGCTAGCTACATACCACACACGAGCAGTCAGGAGACAAGACAGCTTCCATTCTCTCAAAATACATCAATGCTGGAAGCCGCCGAGCTGCTAAGCAGTGTCTCTCGGGTTTCACACGCAAATGATGCGAGCAGATCAGCTATCCCAGCGTACACGAATGAGGTAACCAGAACAGACATGCCAGCACACGTAAGTGGTACAAGTAGATCAGCCATGACACCACACGTAAGTGATGCAAGTAGATCAGCCATGACACCATGCGTGAGTGATGCAAGTAGATCAGCCATGCCAAGTAGACCAGCCATGCCACCACACGTAAGTGGGATAAACAGAATAGGAATGCCACCACACGTAAGTGATCTCAGCAGAGCGTCTCCATTCCCAAACGAAAGGGATACGAGTAGGTCAGCCATGTCGGAACACATACGCAGGGATGTCAGTAGTGCAATAGACCAGTCCTACGTAAGTGGTGTAGGCAGATCAGCTGTGCCACCACACGCAAGCAACGCTATCGGAACAATGAGCCAAGCACACGAGCGTGCAAGTACTGCTGCAAGGCTACCAAAGGAGATGCCATACGCTTCACTACCACACGATAGTAGCGTGTCTATGTTGTCACACGAGTGGCGCACGAGCATACCCTCACACTCTACACCGGTTATCGATACAACAACACAAAGGAGTTCGCATCCAATGCCAAGCACAGGCATCCAACAGAATTCCGCCAGTGATGATCCTCGCCCCACACACATGGCTGCGACTGTGACTGTAGCCACAGTAAGTACTACTAGCTAACTGTTATTGTGTCATATCAACCACTGTTTGTGCCCCTGGAGAGTTGTTCACTGTACCTGGTCTTGGTATAATCAGGTATGTTAGCCACAGTAAGTACTACTAGCCAACTGTCATTGTGTCATATCATCCACTGTTTGTGCTTCTGGAGAGTTGTTCACAGTACGTGGTCTTAGTATAGTCAGGTATTGTTAGCCACAGTAAGTACTACTAGCTATCTGTCATTGTGTCATATCATCCACTGTTTGTGGCCCTGGGAGGTTGTTTTCTGTACTTGATCCTAGTATAGTCAGGTATTGTTAGCCACAGTAAGTACTATTCACCAACTGTCATTGTGTTATATAAACCACTGTTTGTGCCCCTGGTGAGCTGTTCACTGTATCTGGTCTTAGTATAGTCAGGTATCGTTAGCCACAGTAAGTACTACTAGCTAACTGTCATTGTGTCATATCATCCACTGTTTGTGCCTCTGGAGAGTTGTTCACTGTACGTGGTTTTAGTATAGCCAGGCATTGTTCGCCACAGTAAGTATTCGTAGCGGATGGATATAGACGAAAACATGGTTCATAACCACGGATCAATGCGTCGCACTGTGATCCTAGCGCGCACACACACAGCGGCTCACATGAGAATATGTGTGTGCTAAGATTACTATAAACGAACACTTAGGACATGCGGACACATAAATGCATTCCGCTTATGGTTTCATCGCACGCGCATACACCCGCTCACAATTTTGTCGTGACATGGGTGTATATAAACACATGTTAGACGCGCACACGTGGATTGATAGCCAAACACACAACTAGAGTACGCATGACATTTACGCACATACGGACAAGAATATACACTCAAATGTAAGTACAATTGTGTATATCAAATATACACCCAACACGCGCATCCTTATTGTAAACACCAAGTAGACACATAAAAAAAGCATACACGCGCACACAGACAGAAATTTACTTGTGAAAGATTTCTTTATCGTTCTCATACAATATTTTGTATTGCTAATATATACACAAATATACGTTTATGCACACATTAAAGTTATACGCTATCGCACATATACACACATGCTGCTTTCATACTCGCGTGGTGTAAACCGCGCATATTAACAGGGCAGAGTCATTAAGAAGGGGAAGCAAAGGTCAGTGCCTCGCTTGCTTGCTAGATACACAGCAACGGATGACTTCCGAAGCAGGGTCCAGCAGATGGTGAACGTTCTAGAATCCCAGGTACGTTAACTTGTGCGTTGCAGGCCTGTGTGTGCGTACTGGAAGCTATTTAATAAAATTGGTGTAAGTGTGCCTCTCATATCAAGACTGTATGAGGGTGGATTTTGCGATGTACTAGCAGTACAACCTGTAAATGAATCTGGTGATATTTATGTAATAAGTTTTTTGTACATGTTTCGCTTTATATCTTAGCGACTTACTATGGTATCCGTGTACACTACTACACTCGATAGGAACAGACTGTCGGTTGAAAGTGGGTCTGGTAGATTAATAAACGTAATACATCCGACCATAAACAGTGACACGTACGCACACATAAAAGCGATGAATTACAATCTTGGAATGGGTATATCTTGTGTTTAGATTCAATACATACGCCAGTAGTGTTTAGATTCAATACATACGCCAGTAGTGTTTGGATTCAATACATACGCCAGTAGTTTCAAGTATGTATCATCGCACATTCATCTCGTTCACAATGCGCATCGTTTTGATATATTCGTTAATATTCGTCTACTTATCCCACTCCGACTTCGTCATACTGCACAGCCAGATCTGCTAGACAGGATCGTGGCCGGTGCGAGAAATGAAGTGAGAAAGGTTGTACGCGCTGGCCCGTCTAACCGTCGTTTGTCAGACGAAAGAGAGGAGAAAATGGCATCCAAGCTGTACGACTCCGAGTGGGAGAGACGTTTCGACCCGTATGTACAATCATTTGCTATCCGGCTTTTATTTGTGCATATATATTATATATGTGTATATGTAGGCGTATGTATATGTACGCACTCACACACACACATATATATATATATATATATATATATATATATATATTTTATATATATATATGTATGTATGTATGTATGTATGTATGTATGTATGTACATGTTTA